CCGGTGAATCTCTGTGTACAGTGTGTGACGATGTCATACTATACGGATCAAGAGGATGGAAAGCTTTACAGAGTCACGCAACCTTGGTGAAACACCGAAAACAGACATTTCTACTGAAAAGTAACTACTCGATCTCAAGCGCTTTTCGACAGCCTGGAGCATGTGTAAAAACAAGAGGAGTTGGCTAAAAAGAGTGGAAAAAGACGGAGAGGACCAATAAGCTTTTAGCGCTTGCTAAAAAGCTTAAAATGAAGAGAAAATGAAATATTCTACCTCATGAAACTGTATATTGTTGTATATACTGTAAATAGACATCCACTTTATATAATAAAATACATTCATAACCCATATATAGTAATCAGTGTGGGACTTCATTATCATTGTATGAGGTAAGAATCAACAGCTTTTTATCACATTTACACAACACTTTATGAATACAAGTAATGAACAAATCTTAAAATATGGCAGGGAATGTGTTTCCGTTTTTAGTTTTGATTTTAAGCAGCAAATTTGAAGTTACCACCTGGAATGCATAAGCAAAATTGCACAAATTTTCACTTGAAAGAATATTGAACAATCTTGGGATTTTTTTCTATTAGTTTCAAATCGTGTGTAAATTGAATACACTTCATCTTCAGCAGGTTTAGTGCCACTTTTGTAAATGGCCCCGCCCCCGTCCCGGCCACGCCCCCGTCCCGGTCACGCCCCTTTCCGCTTTTTTCATCACGAGCCACTCTCATCCCTGCCAAACAAAGCAAGTGAAAGTAGTAAAGCTGGTGAAAAAAAGAGGAAAATAGTGCACAGAACTGTTGAATTTAAGAAAGATTTGAGAGCAAAATATGAATCAGGTGTACGTGTGTCTGTGTTGGCTAAAGAGTTCAGCATGCCGAAATCGACGATCAGCAGCATCCTAAGAAAGAAAGACCGTCTTAAAGTCACTGATGTGGCTAAAGGATCTCGTGTGTTGAGCAAACAAAGGCCACAAAATTCGAGGAAGTGGAGAAACGTTTGCTTATTTTCCGAAATGAGAAACAGCTAGCAGGGGACAGTCTTAGCTAAGGTACGAATTGTGGCAAAGCAAGACAATTGTATGGAGATTTGATAAAAAAGGATCCTAGCATTGCTCCTGAAGAGTTTGATTTTAAAGCAAGCGGAGGATGGTTCGAAAAGTTTAGGAAAAGAAGTGATTCGTCATGGGGAGACAGCCGGTTCAGATGAGGAAGCTGTCGAAAAGTTTAAAGTTGAGTTTGAAAATCTCGTCAAGGCCGAGGAATCTTTTCCCCAGCAAACTTTTAATATGGACGAGACTGTGTGGATAAAGTGGTTCAGAAAATGGATGGAGGGATGTTACCTCGTCCCGTAGCGTAGGGTTGCAGAGAGAGAGTCCATAGTTACAGCCATTACTTTAGGGTTTATTAGTTCAAGGTGTAAAATAATGTACAGTGATCCCTCGCTATTTCGCGGTTCGTTTATCGCGGCTTCAGTGCATCGCGGATTTTTTCCAAACAAGAAAAAAAACATTTTTTTTTTTTTTTAAATATACATGGAGTACAGTACTGTATATGTTGCTCTATGTGACTCTCTGTTGTTTTGCAGCTTCTCGCGGACCGTTTGCGGACTTTTTGCGAACTTAAAAAAAATATATATATATTTTTTTAAACCTCTATATGTTAATTGGTCGCTACTTCGCAGATTTTCGTTTACCGCGGGTGGTTTTGGTCCCATTAACCGCGATAAACGAGGGATTACTGTAATCTACAATTATCACTATGAGAGAGAGAGAGAGAGAGAGAGAGAGAGAGAGAGAGAAAGATGTTACTTGAATTTTTATGTTACGATGTTCATGTTTATGTTAAAATTGTTAAAAATAAAACATACAAAATGTTTGTACAGTTTGTTTGTACAGTATCTTACAAATACCTTTTTACATCTGTATACGGTTTATGAAAATGTTAAAATTGTTTTCGAGACATGGAACGGATTAAAATTTATTACATTGACTATAAATGGAAACATGGTTTCGGTTTTCGAACAGCCTCCTGGAACGGATTATGGCAAGCAAGCCCCCAAGATGGGGGAGGAAAATATATTTTCTGATTTAATATGGTTTCTGTAGGAGGACAAACATGACACAAACATTCTTAACATTTTCAAATGCTGTAAAAATGTGTACAATAAATATTAAATTTCAACATTTCTGTCAACAAGGATTTGCGTCATAGCCTGCGACACACGTTTCTATTAGCAGGACGGGATGCCAGGCCGGTGGCTGTTGTCAAAAAACAGCATTTCACATACAATTCACCCAGGGTACTGGCAAAGAATGGGAATGTGGAGGGTCGAAAGAAGCATTTTTAAATGGTACACGTGAGCTACGATAGTTAACAGGCTACAAAAGCGTGTCGTTCATCTTCGGAGCCATTATGGCTGTTGCTCATTATGGCATGCGGGTGTAAGTGCGTACGTATGCGCGTGTGTGCGGGAATTGGTCGATCGCGTGAGGTTGGTTGATCGAAAAGTAGATCTTCGTTCAAAAAAAGGTTGGGCACCCCTGGTCTACAGGATGCACTGCAGTGGAAAAACATTTAATCATGAAGGCTCATTGTGTATTTGTAGACAACTTAGTCATTTTGATAGTAGGCTAATATACAGGTAGATAATATAGATACATACAGCATGTGTTGCCTTCATTATGAAGCTTACATAAGGCTTGTAATTTTTTGTGGCTCCAGACATATGTTTTTTGTTTTGTTTTGGGGTTTTTTTGGTCCAATATGGCTCGTTCAACATTTTGGGTTGCCGATCCCTGGTCTATATGATAAGCTTAGTGATGAAGAAATGCAGTCCACATTTACATACTGCATCGTGTTTCATGAAACAGTGATATGGATGTGTATTTCATAAGTAGTAAATATTTAGTAAGTTTGTACCTGTACTTGTTGTCGATAAACTATCATTTCTCAAGCTAACCCATGGGTGGCGCTAAACGGATTAAAGAAAAAAAAAAGTTCACACGAGGCGGCCATTAAATGAGTTAAAAAGGTGGAAAAGGAGAAAAAAAATTGAAAGGACATCCCATTAGGGGGAGGTGTTGGGCTCTTACTTATGCCTCCCGATTTTGAAAAACCAAGATGAAACAGACAAGCGGGACTGCTTCTTTAAAACTTTCAAGGTGGTACTACTGAGTCTTTTTTTTTTTTAAAGCTACAAAATACAAGGGTCATTCAATAAATAAGTGATGATGAAGCCAAAAGTGTTGTGAGTGACTGGCTGAGACAGCAGTCCAAAGATTTTGACGCTGAAGCTTGTGCGCAGATGGGGAAAATGTGTGACAGTGCTCAGAGACTACAGTGAAACTCCTCTACAATGAAATCATGTTTGCAGCATGAAATTTTTCACAGCAGGGGACTTTTCACGATAGCAAATTTTATCTCAGATGTAAACACACACACACACACACACATATGTGTACTCTTTATTTTTATTCCAATAGTGCATAAGTATGAGCATACACTTATTTGACACTTCATATAGCCAGCGTAGAAAGGAAAAAAAGGAAAAGAAATTGCGAAATTTACGATCAGCATTCACTTTCATTTCCATACGTTTCTTGCATTGTCTTTTACTTTGCTTCCTCCATCTTTCATTTTTATTACTTTTATCCTGTCTTCAAGCATTAAAGCTTGTCTTTTCTTCACTCCTTGGTCTGCAAAGGTCCGTTTTGTAGCCATTTTTAGCAATGCAACGTTCGTGCTGCATCTGAAACTAACAATAACAAATACTTCCTGCACTACTGCGCATGTGTAAGCCAGTGTGGTGTTTGCTGTTGCCTTTTCCAAGCTAAGCAGTAGGAGTCGCTGAAGGCTGAGGTTGGATTTGACTTTTACAGAAGGCTTGTTTTCCTTGTAGTGAATCTTGTTGCGAGGCAAGGGCAGAGAAAAAGATTTCATATTACGCAACAGGGCGATTTTCGTTGAAGGGGGAGCAGAAAAGTGGGAATGGCTTTAATGCATGGGAGTTATTTTCACACTAGGGGGCATTTTCGCCCATGTAAGTTTTGTTGTAGGGGGGTTTCACTGTATGTTGAAAAAAAAAAGTAAGCTTCTATCTGTATTAGAAGTAAAAGAAAAATTCACCGTATTTATTGAATGACCCTCGTAAATGAAATATTGATTGGTTTGCCAGGGTTGTACTATATAAACAGTTTGTCCATGTGTCCATTTTTTTTTTTTTTTTTTTAATGTCAAAGGCCCTGACCACGAATCATCTCGAGAATATCAGACTCATAATCAGCTGGGTTCTCCAGGTTATCAGAGAGCAACTCTACTACTGGCTTGTCCAGCAGGGAGGCTGGGTAAGTCATGCATGATCATTATCACCTGTCGTTTTGATATGCTGCTGTACTGATTTATAGATTGATGTTTTGTTTTTGTTTTTTCTGTCTTTAATTATAGGAAGGTGTTATCCAAGGATGGTCTCACTGGCGGACATTCACCTTAGTGGCATCGATGATTTTAGTGGCAACCATTGTTTATTATAGGCGAACACGCTGACAAATGGCTGTCACAATCTCAAAAGCAATACTTCAGTTAAGAACTAGTCGCTACCAACATTTTCATTTGTTCCTACGTATGTTTGTTTGTTTTTTTTTACAACCATGAATGACGGTCAGTTATAAACCAAAGAATGGGTTAAGACAGGATCATTGATCATCGTTATCCTAAATAGAAATGTATGGAAACTGTCCTGTGGACATTTATATCTTTGTATTCATCACCAACTGGTCTTCATTGTCTTTAGTTTGGAGTTGCTGCTGCACTTCTTCAGCCGGATGGCCGCAATGGGTTTCAACACATTACACATCTAATAACTACTGAATATGTCACTAGAGTTTTGAAAATGTTTGAGTGAGTCTCGTTTTTTTTTTTTTAATTGAGATGTCATTTGTAATTGCTATTTTCTGCAGAGTAGATGGTTTTAACTGTAATAGATATGGTAGGCACTGACTCACCAGTTTAATATGTTTGTCATAGATTGAAGTGTTTTTTTCTGTATTTTTCTTGATAATACTTTATTGGTATTAAATGTGACTCTCCGATTGTTTCTCTCCTCCATCTTGTCCTTGAACATTAATTATTCAGAGGTTCACACTTTTGTCAAAACAAGTAAATACATTAAGACGCATCAGTGCTTTTGTTCTAGAGTACCAGTAGTCGTCATCATTGCGGCCCGCAGGAGGATATTTTGTGGTCCTCTACTTGACATCAAAGTTAAATGCCGGCCCCCACATTTTTGTTGGTGACTTGGTTTTGTTTTTTGAATTGTGTATGGATTACCATGGAGGCGGCCTGGTGATCCAGTGGTTAGCACGTCGAACTCACAGTGCAGAGGTCGTGGGTTCGATCCCGGCTCCGGCCTTCCTGTATCCAGCCTTGCATGTTCTCCCGGTGGCTATGTGGGTTTTCTCCGGGTACTCCGGTTTCCTCCCACATTCCAAAAACATGCAGGGCAGGCTGATTGAACACTCAAAATGGTCCCTAGGTGTGAGTGTGAGTGCAGATAGTTGTTCGTCTTTGTGTGCCCTGCAATTGGCTGGCAACCGGTTCAGGGTGTCCCCTGCCTACTGCCCGAAGACAGCTAGGTTCGGCTCCAGCATGACCTGCGACCCTTGTGAGGATAAAGCGGATCGGAAAATGGATGGATGGATGGATGGATGACCATGGCTTAGTCCCATGAAAGGTTTCGGCGAAACATGATTCTGAAGTGACACCAAGTGGACGAAAAGATTGCCCGTCTCCTTTTTCAAGACCTTGTGTGTAGCTTAATTTAAAGAATACAGATCGAATGTTTGTTTGTTTCTTTCGTTTTTGTTTTTTTTGGAGCACAGCTGCACCCTGAGATGTCTTGAATGCACAGAGACAGCTGACGTGCTCAGGAAATCAGACATCGTTACTCATCTGGACACGCTGAGAATTATCCTAAATACCAGGGAGTTGAGTGCCCTACTTTAATGCATGGGTGGGTAATTTGTGGTGTTGGGACACAAGCAACAGTATAGACACACAAAAAAAAAGTTCAGTTAAGAGGCTGTTGGAACAATAATAGCTTGGCAGCAGATTGTATATAAACCAATGACATAAAACAATTATTTTTCCAAAGAGGCCATGTAAGGAACTTGTAAGGTTTTAGAGGGCCATGTCAACATGCTCATCAGTCATATTTATCGACAGACTTAAATATTGTTTTAATAAATTGCTGCTTGGGTTCATGTGATATGTTGCCATAATTACAAATAAAATTACAGAATTTTTATAAGCATTGATTAAAATGACATATACACACAACTTGGTTTATAGACAAATATTAACATTCCATCACTATTTTATCAACAGTGACACAAAATTGTGTTTACAGGGTGCATCTCTTTTCAAAGTCCGCTGACATTATGAACACTGACCACAAAGTCATATTGGTTGTTCTTAGTTGGGGCTTTTACCTCCACTGTGCAGGAATGGGCATGATGCCGACGTGAGTTGTTTGACACTGGCACTGTTCCCTGGTTAATGATGAGGATTTGTTTCAAATAGTCCCATAAGTGGTTGTAAAAAACACTAATGTAGCGATTATCTGCATTTCTATTCCATAAAGACAAAGAGGAATCTTTTTTTTGGTCATCTCCAAAGAGGATCTGGGGAATCTGTTTCATCTCCAAGGAAGGTGGAGATTAGGTCCTCCTCCCAGGAGAGTGCGAACATTACATCCAACTGTGAACACAGTTAAAAACAAAAACATTTTATTTATATTGCGCTTTTCTAGATATTCAAAGTCGCTCTCCCTTTGCAACATCATTCATCATCATGGGATGAAGAATGTAAAGGACGACGAGGAGAGGACTGTTATGATCCTGTCTCGTTTGACTTGATTGTGTTTCAGCTCCAGCTGGAGTGAGGGGTGTTATCCTCAGCAGGCGCACCTGTGCCACGTTTCCGAAGCAAGCTTTGCCGTGTATTGAAGGACTGCCAAAATGCCTCGTGATTGTTGGATTATTTTGCCTTGTTCATGACTTTGTCTCCAAATGCTTAATTTTCGAGACATTTTTGCCTCATAGCCTTGCCTCGTTCATAGTTGTTTTTTGTTTGTTGTTCTTGGAAGTATTTAGCCTTATTTATTCTCGGTGTATGTTTGTGTATCGAATTCTCTTGTCCTTTTGAGTTGACAAGCAATTTACATTTTTCTTGCTCCTTGCCTTTTCCAAGCGTTATTTAGTTTGTTCTCTAAGTAGTACTTTGTCGGTCTTGTGTTTTTGTAAATAAATATATTTTTGTTCAAAGCCTCTTATCTCTGTGGAATCCTTGTTCTGGATGGAATCCTTCGGTACATCTGACAAGGAGCAAGCACCAAACCTTGGGGAACACCTTGAGTCAGAGGGGTTACGGAAGAGGAGCATTGATTGATGAGGATGAACTGTTGTCGGTTTGCTAAATAGGACTGAAACCAGGACACGTCTTGAGGTGGGACGGAAGGATGGAGTGGCTGATGGTGTCAACTGCTGGTCAGGTCAAAGGATGAGATTGCTGAAATGGCCAGAGTCAGAGGAGAGAAGAAAATCGACTGACTTTGAGTAGAGCTCTTTCTGTGGCGTGGAAGATGTGGAAATCAAAAGCAATGGCAACGTGGCCCAATACGTTTTAAGTTATGGCAAAACAGATGGCGCCTGAGTAGGCAGCCGTCAGCAAGTGCTCTTCAAGAGCCTTGCGTTTTTTTGTTGTTTTTGTGTTTGTTTTGTCACTTTGTGTTTGTTGTTACGTCGTGTGGACCTGATAGGGACTGTTTTCAGCATTTTTGGCAATGACATTCGTCAAATAAGAAGAATCTGTGTTTGGTGGTTGCGCCTTCTCGGCGGCGCACGTGTATGAGCACTGATTTGTACTAGCATTTTCCTTACATCATGCATATTCACTTCCCTTTCGTGCATCTATCTCAACGGTTCTCCATTCCTATCACTCCACTCATATTTATAGCATTTGTCCATCCACTTGTTTTGTTTTTTCACATCCTTTGCCGCCGCTTCTTCTTCTTCTTAATTGGCGGATGGCAGCTAACATTTGAGGTCCATTATCGCTACCTACTGTGCCGGAGAGTAGTAGACTACTCTCCGGCTATTGTACAGTAGCTACTAGGTAGCTACTGTACAATAGTCATGTACTACTACTAGTAGTACATGACTATTGTACAGTAGTAGGAGAAAAACCAAAACCCCTAAATTAAATGTCTTAACCCCGTTTCCCTTAAAATCGAAAACACAGCCTTGCACTTAATCTCTTCTGTCCTGAGCACATTTTAAAGACTAAACACTACCACCACACTCTTACTTAATTTTCTCCAAGTGTACCGTTTTTTTGGGCACAAACACAATGATAGCCCCCCCCCCCCCACACACACACACACACACACACACACACACACACACACTTTTGTAGTTTCCCGAGTGGGACGTGAACCCACGCCGAAACCTGATGAGTGTACCACCACGCCAATCTCAGCCCCTACTTGTACAGAAGACCTAATTTTTTTTTACGTTCGAAAATGAAGTCAGACAATACATTAAAACGATTAGACACTCACAATCAGGAAAAGCACTCAAAGACTTTTTGTAGAATACATTTCTTTTCCTGTTTGTTTGTCTGCCCTTGGTTATCTGTGTTCTTGACTAAAGCAGTAAAAAAAAACAAATATAAAATACTTGGACCGTCTTCCGCGGACGTCAGTCGACGTTATAATTATCTTACTTGACCACGTTGAATTTGCCTGCGTGTGCGTGTGTGTGTGTGATGTAATAGTAATAAACGGCCTACGTCTGCGATGTAAAACAAGACTGTGTGTACAAAAAATAAAAAATAAAAAAACTGCATTTAAGGGTGGGACAAGGCTGGCAGTCCATATATGACCCAAAGTTGTTCATTGATTTCTGGGCCACAGACTTCACTCAACAACTGGCCCACATCTTGTTTGCCAGAGTCAAGCCAGTGCCTCCTTTGCCACTACTGGGCTATGTTGGGCCCGCATGCCTTATTCCAGTGCCGACTCAATGCCACCTATTCCAGCTTCATGCTGAACCTGGACCAAACGTCTTTGCTATGTGGGGAGCTATATTATTGGTGCCACAAAGGCACAAACAACGCAGGAAGGAGTTTGCGGTGCTGAAGAGACGAGCACAATTTTCAAATGTTTTCATGCCAGCCCTGCAGGGACACACACAGGCCAAAAAACAAACAAAAAAAAAAAACAAAAAAACAAGAGATAGTATCCCTGGGTTATTTACTGGGCTCGGGATGTCTGTTGACATCAACAAGTGGGTATCTAAACATCACACGAAGACAAGAGCCTATTTAATTGTTCTATGATTCTAAAAAAAATATATATATATGTATACTAATAATTAAAAGTAAAAAAATATGTGATCATTTAACAAACAACAATAAAGAAACAATTTCTCAGCATTTTTTCCTCCTAACAATTTGAATTAATGAATGAAAAATGTGCCCTTTTATTTGCATGTATTTATTCATGATTAACCCTCCATTTCACCCCAAAATTCCATTGTCAGGTTTCCCAGTGCACAGCACGTCAGGCCAGTGGCATTTGTGTCAAAGGGCCAACAGAAGTCATGCCAATACATGTCAGTGTCTCCAAATACTGTTTTTTTTTCCAATTTTGTCTTCTGTATGTTATGTATGGGAAGTACATGATGAATTCATCTTGCTTCGTCAAGTTTGTCCATCTGTTTGAGCCTTCTAAAAAGATACTTGCTGATTAGGGCAAAGAATTTGTCAATGTTTTCAGGACCTCCGTCTTTGTCAGAAATTATCTTCATCACAGCTGTCAAACACAAGGCCTGGAGGGGATATCTGGCCTGCTACTTCATTTTATATGGCCCTTGAAATCAAACCAAGTGTGTGACCTTTCATGAAACATCTGAAACCAAATTCCATTGTAACATACATATTTTAAAAGTAGCTATCCAACAATTAATTGCGTACTTTGGATATAATAATAAAGGGAGATGATTCATTTATGATTAGTTTAAATGGTCTCACAGTTGA